TGCGTTTGTAATGAAGCCTACGGTGATTCATAGGAGATGTAACTGGAGAAAAAGAACTTGTTAGACATGCGCATCATTTTTTTGCACATACAAAGGTACCTCGCTGCGTCTACACATGGAGTTGATGAAAATAGATGCCGAGATATGTGTATGCGCATTATTGGAGCAGACAGTTTAGAAAATCTCTTAGTGTATTTATTTATAGAAATGAAGAACCAATTGTGAGCACGAAAAGAGTGCCATAAGACTACAACTATATTTGTGCCATATTTTGCATTTGCACTTGAAATTTGAGACTACGTCTTTTGGTGTGCATTTGCATTCCATACAACCTAACTCACCAATTTGAGAGCTGCATTGTACGAGCAAAAAAGGCAGCCTGATTATTACAAACTCCATCTATAAATAACAAGTTACTAATGAACAACTTGTAAACTATGGGTTTTCCGATTTTATTTTCAAGGCGCCGGACTTAAGTGGGATTCGTTCTCATTATTCAAAATCTTTTTGAGGCTGTTTTCGATATGGTTAGTTGCAGATCCAAAGCAATCGGCAGAATTTAGTACTTCACCATGAAAAACACGAGACACACATCTGACATTCACTTTTGCAATGCTGTCCCAACGGATCGCACATTAATGTGTTAAAGAACAAATTATTTCTTGAGGTTTCACCCCCACCGACGAAGTTTTATCTTCTAATGAGAGATTACAGATTGCATTGACGGGATGCCGTCTGCAATATCTTTCACTCGGCAATCCTGGTTCTTATTGGGCTGCATTGTCTGACCGATTAAACCCTTATAATCTACTCACATCGACAAAAATAGGTAAATGCAGGGTAGTGCCGAGCATCAATCAACGAAAGCGGCCATGCAACACAAGGGCACTTTACAGTGAGTATTATAACAAAGCGATCAGTTAAACGAAAGAAACAAATGATTCCAGTAGTTCCTTGTGCTTGAATGACTTTTAAAAGTGCACTCAAAATGAACGTGTGTAGGACACAAACAACATCAAATGTATGTAAATGGGAACGGTTCCCATTGATGAGAAAGTGCTACATTAGCTATGTAGAATGTTTTGCTGAAAGGTATCTTGGTCATGCCCTGAAGATTACTTCTATGATGTACCTCTGTCATTTGCATCACTCTTGTGAAAGTTCAACAGACCATGTCATCTGAACAAATAGAGACCAGCCATTATCTCACATATTTTCAGACAAGCGTGGCGAGTTCATTGTGTAAAAACGTACATGAATGAGGTAATGCAAAATTAAGAACGTGGCTCAGAGGACGTTAGAACAAAACAAGATTAAAGCTGATCTAACCGGGTTAGTTAATGGGATGCCGTCAACTTAGGAAACAAAAGTATATTGTGATATTTAGTTATCACCTTAGTGTCATTATTTGGTTACTTTTCTCTGTACGGAAGAGTCTAGAAGATGGGTAGCAACAGCCTTAGCAGTTTTTAGGATTCTACTCTGCTCACAATTAAAATTAATTTTAAACAATGCTGATATGTTCATAAGGCGGCGACCGTTCCTGTGGGATTTGTTATTGCACTTGCAGAGCTACCAAATCCTGAGATCTGAAATCAATTAGGGTTAAATTTGGCAAAACGATGTGGAGACACCTGATGGTTTCGTTGATTCAGTTGAATCCGTAGGCCACAAGGCCAATTTATAGAATGCAACCAATCGTAAAATGAAAAAGACTCGCGCAAAAACTTTGTCCACTAAAAGGTATTTAACTCAAAAATTCATTTTCTTCGAAGCTTTAATGAACAATACTTCAAATTTGGGATATCAAATGATTTAATTTGAGCCTTCCCCTAAAAACCTGATGCACTTTTGTTTGCCTTTATAAGGGTGAGATTTGTAACATATTATTAAAACACGCTTTGATAGCGTCACCTAAAAGGACCTTTAACACCGCTGACTGATCTTTATTAAGGAATTCACGCATTTGGCAGCTGATTCGATAAAGGTCCTATTACAGCTTTTTGCCATAGCTAACGTCATCTGCCATTTTGATTGTAGTGGCATCAAATCGGATACTCCTTGGAAGAATAGATTATTATCACCTCTACGAATGAGGAGACGGATTGCTGCGAATTCCCGCGCGTTGTAACAACGCGACATTTTATTGGAGTACTAAACAACATGCTAGATTTAGAGGGCTCGTCTGGAAACTATGGATTAATCCTGTTTGAAAAATCTGCCCAACTATTTGCTGGAAATGCTTTAGCGTAGTTTAGACAAGTGCGCCAAAACGCATTAGTTCTGTTGCGTGAGACGGCTCCCAATGAAATGAATAAATGAAATGACGCGACAGGTACAAGTTTGATTTATAATAATGCTTTTTTGTCCCTGGCTTCTTTGTACATGGCATGAGCAGGCATTTTACTGGGTCACGTGAATTCGCATCTGTATGAATCCCTAAAGTTTGTTCTGAAAGGAAACTGAGGATGAATGTGACTCTGTTTTGAGCTTGCCAACAAACCATTCCTTCCCACTAATACAAGTTATATAATAAACTGGAGCTTCTACGCTTCCATACGGCTCCAAGTAGAACCCATAGTAATTTGGTCATTTTTGGTAGCTGTGATATCATTTAGTACGCTGAAATCGCTTCCTCCAAACTTATTGGATTAACAAGCACGAGTTAGTGTTCTCAATTTCTTCTCTACCAAGGATATACCAATAGGTGTTCTCCTTGTGTTTAGGAAGTAATACCTGTTTTGACTGGGCCGAAGAGGCTTACAATTAGAACTTTGTGTCGTTCTGCTCAAAATATTTAAACAATTCAAGGCGGCGTCGCTGACTTTCAGATTTCGTAGAGTCAATATTTTCCGTCAATAGTATTTATTTACCCGTTATATGTGGGAATAGATAGAAGACAGGTACAGCAGCATAGGTTACTATATCAGCAGCGCAGCTTTAACAGTGTCAGAAGCCAGGGTAAAAGTGGCGAAAAAACTCAACAGCACATTACACTCGTCTTAGCGAGAAAGTCTAATCAATCTCTCGATTATGATATTCGTCAACTCACTGCGCCAAGCGAAACAGACCCGTTATTTCAGTTAACGATTGACAAGAAATTGCAGTATATCTTCTAGGTCAACACGTTACTCATGGAGCTGCTGAAAACTGTTTTACATTACATTACTAATCCCACCATTTTAGAGAGTCATTATGAAGATAACTCACCATCTAGACCGTTGAGTAGCTCTCAAAGAGATATTCAGCAGCCTGGTGAGCAGCATGTTGCATTGAGAGATTATTTACGTACTCGTCTTCGACCAGAAATTTTCCAGGTTTCACCAAGGCACACAATATTTAGTGGGTTAAAACAATTTGAACGTCATTGAAAAATAGATCGAAATGTTTTCCTTGTAATTCCTTGATCGATTGTTACTTGGGCCATTTTGGTACTCGAATCTTCATCATTTCGCTGTGAAAAACAGCTCAAAAACATCATTTTTTCACAAAGACGTTGAACAATCCAGTTGACATGAAACTGTGACACTTTCTCAACTATCCTTAATAAAGTGGATATCCTAACTCCTTAGTCAGGAAATATTTGTCTGAATCACTTTTGCATAACACCGCTAGCCCCTAGAAAGCCTACTTTCACTGTTGTTGATTTACCTCTTCTATCCATCCATGTCCCGCGTATATCGGATTTAGCGTGTTACAGCCTATTCTTAATGCAAAGAAATGGTTTTGCAATACATATTTGAAGCAAGTATTTCGCCGCGTATATACAGACAACGAGAATGGCAGCATCTAATCACTTGGGTAACTTGACTTAGGTCTACAAATGAGAACAAATTGATGGAAAACGTATACAGGCCAAAAAAAAGGGAACACTTGTTCACGATGTTTGTCGGCGAAAAAACTGTCTGAAATTTGCAAAACATAAGTTAGATCATTTGTGTTACAATGTCTCCGGCACTACGGTAAGCGTAACACAACGGACACACTCCCAAAGTTTATCTGCCATACTAAACCAACGGCATAACAAAAATATCTGGAAGCACAATATGTAAATGAGAAAGGCAATAAGTTTACCTTGTTTTAATTTATCCTAAATGCCAGTAACCCAAACTTTCTGCTATTTTTAGTGTGTGATGCCACACCTGGCCCCAAAATACTTGTAACTTTTTTCATACGTAGTAAGATAAAATCGCTAACAGTACACAAATGGTATAACCACATTAAGTAAGATTTAGCAAAGCCCAAAAGATAGTCCTTAAGGAAGGACAACAAAGTTAGAGTAGGTGGATGACAGGGGAATAGTTGTATTGCTCTAAAAATCCGAAGGGAGAAATCTGAGTTCGTTCGAGCAGCACTGTATCGGCTCAGATCGATAGCAGGGCTCTCCAAATGTGGGCAATCCAACTTTCCCAAGTGTATTTTGACTTTGAGTGATTCTCGTCGAAATATAAGTTGGACGACGCTGACTATGCTTCAATGTGAAACGCAGAATGTAAAAATGAAAAATGTCCTTCCAATCATAAATATTAACTCTGGTTGGAAAAGGCCAGTGTCTAAGACGAACGACTCACCCTTTATACTCCTGTGAAAAAACTCGGTCTATTTTACTGACGAATTTCAGTAAGTTTTTACTCTTGCTTTCTCTAGTGGGTTTCGAAAAGTTATCGTCTAATGAAGACTTACTTGATTGCTGCTTTGTCTACATAGCTTGAAATTTGGCTGCGGACGTTTCCGTACCGTGCTGTCAACCCATCTAATGGGGGACGTTTGCAGTTAAATTGCTAAGTATAACAAAAGAGCGACGACCGTAGTCTAGCTGGCCGGAGATCCTTCTTGTACTGATCTCTCCTTGAGGGCATATTTCAAAATTTAATGACTTTTTCGTCAAAACACCTAAAAAAAGAAAGGTCGTACATAACACTGTATCATTTCTCTCGTGTGATTTCAGATGCTCTGGCTATTTTCCCTACTGCCAACAAACAGTTTTCAAGCAATTTCGCATGGGGATGTTATACTACAATGCCTATGTGCTTTTCCCCCTGGACAATATGTCCGAATGCGCAAGTGTATGGCTAACCGTACTCCTCGCAATCGAGCGCTACATGGCCATGAGTAAGTTGCGCTTCCGGTCAACTGGACTTACGGCCAACGGCACATCACGATCCACAGAAAATATTGCAAGGAAACATGGCCCATTGTGTTTGAACTGTGGAAGTGCCCTCGCCAAGTGCCGCTCGAGATTCAGATCAACCATCCGTTTGACTTGCCCACCACAAACATTTATTTCTCGTATCAACTGCTCGCACTCAATTGTCCTGGTGACTACACTCAGTGTGGTGTTGCACGTACCATATTTTTTTGTGCAAATTGTTCAAGCACTCCCCAGTCGGTCTGTCAACCATACCACTAGCAATAATTACACCAGTCCGCCAACAAAGTTGACTATTCAACTAACAGAATTTGGACATTCTGAAGTTTACAAGGCCCTCTCATGGATCAGAGTGGTGTTAGTGCAAGGCATACCGCTGGCCTTTTTGTGTGTTGCGAACTTTTGCCTTTTCCACTACATTCAACTGGCCACCGTTCGTCGTCAACAAGTTTTGCTAGCTCTACCACAGACTCAACAAAACCGCAAACGGAAAGGAAAGTTTAAAGCTCATAAACAAAGTTGTCGGACTACTCCGAGCTCCAACGGTGGATCAGCCTCGCGATGGCATACGGCACAAAGAAAACTAACCAGTCTGCTTATCGTGATTGTTGCATTGTTCCTGGCCGGCCAGATACCGCAAGCTTTTGCCTATGTGGCTGTGTTTGAAATGTTTGGAAGTGACTGTACACGTTGGAGTTGTTGTCAGCCGTATCAAATCTATCGAGCAGTAACAACTACTCTGCGATTAACCACCTACGCTGTGAACTTTCTTGTCTATCTTCTACTGAACAAACATTTCAAACATCAGCTGAGGATCTGGGTATTATCTCACTTTGCCCCGTGCGTTGGTCCCACCAGATTGGCTGCTCCATCCACTACGGCGATTATTTCAAATGCACCCAAGTCACACTTATTTCTGAGAGGTCCCCGATTAGCACTGAGTGCAATTGACGAAAGGGCGGAAACTCCTAAGTGGCGAAAACACTTATGCGTTCAAGATATACCTTCTGAAGCAAGATCTTTGCCCCTAGCCCTTGAGTACAAACAAGATACATCTGTTTCGCAATATTTACACTCTGTCAGTATTTCAAAAAACAAGGATTTATTTTCAAATACTTCACAAGATTTAACAGCATCTATTGAAATTCCTGTTACCAAAACTATCGATACCTTTGCGGACAAAACGAAACCAATGAACAATCCAACTGGATATCGCTCAACGTATTGTTCATGCACACTGGAAAGTCACAAGCAAACTGAGATATTCTTTGGAAATCATTACGTTCCGTCCATATCAAAAAGTTTCCAAACATATTTTTCGTACGATACTGTCACAAAGAAGGTGACAATAGACCGGCATCACCACGACCCGACACAAAGTACACATGGCGGACGGTTTTCGAATGACATGGATCTACATGTAGCCCAGTCTTCCTTCAACCCATGCTCCCCTCTTGATAGACAAACACATTTTTCCACCAACAGCGTGCGCGCCAAAACGTATTTGCCACAGCCTACAAAGCTACCGTCTTCTAACTTATTACTAGAGAAAGCAGAGAACCAGAGTGACAGGAAGAATTTAGCTCAAGTGAACAAAAGTCTTCGGTCTACAGATTCAAGCTATTCCCTGTATCAGTTAGTTTCGTCCCTTGTTTACGAGGAAAGCGATTTTGATGTAATATCGGTAGACAATTCAGCTGATCCAGAAATATTTGTGACCAACACAGCTGTATAACCAATTGATGCACTTACAGGTATCGGAGAACAACAGTATATTTTGTATCTTGTACAGCGCATTTTCTGTTATCCAGGGGTTTTTTTAATAATTTACAAGATTCATTCGTGTCAACTACTTGATACAAAAACAATAGTGAGAGAACAATCATTACGAATATCCAACCTTCTTTTCAATAGTATGTATGTGAAACCCGTACGTACAACGAGCAGGGCGTGTAGGCTAAAGTCGAGCAAGCAGTAGAGCAACTGTATACGGGCTTAAAGCCGGCAATAGCAAACATCAAACTTTGACAGTGCTCAGATTTACATTTGAATAAGCACAACAGAGCTTAACTGCCCCACAGTGCACGTTGTGTTTATTCGATCACAGTGTATCGCGCGTCTGAGGTCATGGAATTCACATTGGCCGAAAGGCGGATTCGCTTATACAGCTAGCCACACTCTGTCACAGATCATTTTATCGACATTCCGATGCAGTTATCAAAATACGTTCTCATTGAGAGCATATTCCCTAGCGTTCCGTGCATTCACCTAAGTGAAGGATATGGAAGGCGACTCTATGGCACGATTCACGGAATGCCTACAAACCCAAATCAAAATTTGCTTTATTCGCCAGAAATTGGATGCTTGAGACAAACTAGTGACCCTTCTCATTTGGGTCATAACACCTCTGGCCATATACGTCCCTCCTGTTGTTTGTCTTGTCCGTCCGCCATCGAAGCATCCCTGTCAACACTCATGTTGATTATGATTATGGCCTTTTTTTCTACTCGGGAACTATTTGTTACTCTAAAACTCAGGAATATGTTGTTCGTTTGAAAATTGAATGCCATCTGGTATCTTCTCATATGCTGTGAAAAAATGCAATCAGCTATGCTTATTATTAGCAGTGAGTATCGCCAACAACAAACATTAATAAGATGGTAAAAAAGTGAGTAAACCATGTTGTTACCTGCCACAAATATTTTGGAGCTTTTCATCAACGCCGAAGACTACATTTCGACGCAGTGTCACTCTATTTCGCATCAGGTCGGGGATAGTCACTTGTTGGGCTCATTTAGTCGCTACTATAAGCTCTACTTGTAACAAAATTGATTACAAAACTGGAAAGGATTTATACAGTGCGTTATCCAGTGACTTGGCGTATTCGCCAGGCTGGAAGGCAACTAAAATTTCGCAGAGAAAGCCATTTTTCTTGACCTGTCGTCATTGGTTGACATAACGAAACTAGGTCCACTCACCACCACCACCTTCATTTTCAATCCCCCATGGCGCTAAAATAATTCCGTCATGTTGTTGTATTGAAATCTTTAATCAAGAAATACCACATCTATAAAAGACTGTGGCTATCCGACCAAAAGTAGTTCATTTTGGGCAAGTCTCGTTTCGGACAACTTTTGTTTCTTATACTTCAACGTCCCTTTTCTTTTGGTAGCCTGTTCTACAGTATTGAATAAAAACATGTCGATTTCACCTAGACCTGATATACACATCAGTGTGGAATGAATGGCATAGTCAGAGCACAGAAACACAATAGGCCACGTGCGCATGATCATCGCCATAAAATCTCCTAGCAGCTGAATTGCGGTCGGCATGAGGTGAAAGTGTGACTTTGAATTTATTCAGTCACTCACTAGACCTCGAGAAGCTACTCCACGCATCACTACTAACCGGTTCATAGAATTCGCCGTCGCGTTTCTAACGTACCAACTGTCTGCTAAAGATCAGGGGATCAAACGGGCAAGGGCAGCGTATAAATAAATCTACATGTATTTTGTGTGGACATACTTATGGCAGCAACTTCCATTTGACGTGAATAGGGCAACCAATAGGGTTTTCTTTCTGTTTCTCTTAAATATTCATTTAAACAGCATAGCAAATTGGATCGAGCGATACGAAGTTTTGCCACGCGAAGTGCTCTTAGTAGTTTGTTATCCTGTCTTTGTTCTCCTTCCCGATTATTTATCAGCCGGAAGCATCGCACACTCCAATTCCCACAACCACATTACGTAGCCACAAATTTACTGACTCTCTAGGGATTGGTAGTTAAAATTGCTTAGCTTTATTTAAAGAATGTCATTTTATTTCACACTCTGGAACTCATTTTGGAGCAAACTAAATTTGATCCATCGTGGGAAGGATGAAAATTTCGCAAATTGCTATAGCTTTCTATTTAAGAAATCGTTAGCCGAAGAGCACGTAATGCCAATTGTGGGGCTGAAAGCTGAGTGTCACTAGGTCTTGTCCAGGTGCGATTTATTCATGGCAGTGATCAGCCACTTTTGACCGACCAGAAGCATACCGGGTTTGATTTCCATAGGGAGTCATGTGGTCGAATTTGTGGCAGAGTAATCTCGAACCAGGATATAAGGGCACTGCAAGGTCCTTTGTCTATTGGTATGGCTTCGATTAAATCTTAGGATTGGACTGAGGCCACTGTATTCGCATATTAGTGTCCAGTTTCTTTACTAGTGTTCATCTTTGGCCATAGAAACAGGTCCAACTCCTGGCAGGGTAGCCTGTGAACGCAATGTAAACTCACACTTAATGCACAACATCACAAAATGCTGTTTGGTCTGTCTAACCACGAAAATGAGCCGACCAAACTGTGCATCTGAAGAATCGTAAAAACGTTCGTCCTCTCTGATGGCCCTATATTAACTTGGATGGACCAAGTTCATGATGGTTCTGCTAATGCAACTTCTCTAAGAGACCAATGTGCTGCAGCCAGTGCTCTTCAAAACGATTTCATTGGTGTTTCAAGGGCTATTAACTCAGTAAACATGCTAGGCAGCGGTGAAGTCAGCCATGTTTGCAGTTGACTTTCCAACCAACTTTCCAACCCGACGGCCACTATGTTGTTGTGTTTCGCTGTTGGACAAATCGAATTTTTGGGAAATAAACCGCATGGATGTGGCTGTTGTGTGCGTCTTCGGGGTTGCTTTTCAGATGTAGTCGTGTGTGGAAAATGAAACCTTCACACTGTCTAGCTGATAACAAAGTAAAGGAGAATGGCTCTGTACAAAACCTGCATCTAATAGTCTCTCAAAAATACGCATGCCATTCTTGTTACTAATCGAGAATTCTTACAATATGCATTTTAACTCAGCATTCATCTGTCCAACGTATGCCGTGTTGTTATTAGACCATATATTAACAAATATACACACGTATTTCAACATCTGTAATGGTGTCAGATTCCGGCTGGAAGCACCGGCACAGACGTCCAAATGAGATTCTTTTAATTTTAAGATTACTAGCTACAGTCAATTTAAAAAATCAGACTAAAAATGAATCCTTGCAGCTTTGTTAGGGAGCTCCGCAAGTCGGGTTTCTTGTTTTACCAAGTTAAATAACTGACAGTGTTTTCTTTTTTGAAATTGCCAGGTCATTTCCAAAACCTTTTAGCTAAAAGAGAACCAGCTATTTCGAGGACTGAACGGCAGTTATCCTAACTTTTCTAGGGTGAAAACTGCGTCGAAAACATACGCTGCATGTCAAATGCTTTTCAAGGGACTGCAGGTTTACTTCAAAAGCGTGGTATAAGTACGGCCTAAGAAAAAATTACATGGGGAACCATCTTGCAAATAAAGCAATAAACAAGTACACCGAGAACTTTCGAGGACAATAGAGATTTGAAAGTTTCAAATTCTTTGCTTTTTGTGGAATACAACCACAGAACACGTCTAAGCTCAAAGAAAAATCCATCAAAAAGGTAATCGCAGTATTTAATAAAAAGCCGAACACGGAAGGACCATGCCAAGCTAAAATTGGGAAGTACGCAGATAGACGTTCCGCAAACCACTCGACCAGGCGCAAGAAAGGCACCATGAAGTGCAACGACCCATTCAGAGCAAATGTGGAAAACTATGCAAAGTTGGAGATAAACAGATAACTAAATTGTAGGCAGGAGGATACAGTATAGCTTGACCCAAATCGTAGAGGTATGGTTCGCACAGACTAATTACACGCGCGAAACGTAGACCACAAAGCAACACAATCGGCGAAAGTATTAGCTTAACTTTAAGCACGATGGATTGCAAATTTTAAACGCTTTAGATCTTACTTGTAATCTCTAAAACCTAAAAAGCACCCAAGAAGGGATAATTTTATCACCAAACTTCTCAGTGCTGTCTTTACGAATGGTTGCAGACTGGTTACAATTCGATTTCGAAGGTTGGCAAACAGATCTATATCTACCTTACATACCAACATATTCTCCGGCTGCGCTTCTAAGTTTACATCGTGCTGCCTACCGCTTCGAATAAAAGGCAACTTTCTGCCTTTTTACCGAGCCACTATTTCGGGTCCTAGCAATCGGGATTTTCGCTCGTTTGAATGTTGTGTCTACTTCTGAAACATTATCGGTATCTATCATACAGGCGTCTGTTGACAATCGGTTGATCTATCGCTGCGCAACGTTTCGCTTTTGACACGAAAGCTTCGTCAGACCAAGTGACTGGTTTTCGAGGTTGATCGAGATTTAATGTGGAAGGAGAATCAATCAGCTAAGTCAAGCTTAATCTTTGTTGGGCATCGGCCGAGGGATTTTTGTGTGTTGGGGTGGGTGAACAAGTGTTAGGTCGATGGGGAAACCTACATGGGTTTGGGTTCAGCCTAGGGTCTCGTTCTTCAGGTTCGGTCCATTTGATGGTCCCTCCTGAACGTCATTTGAACTTTCTGTCCGTCTGTGTGGATGAGCTAGTGCGTGAGCTAGTTGTGCAAGAGGGTTGCTGTGAGCTTATGTCTGGTTTTGCGACTTCCAACCCAACCCCTAGTTTTTGCTAATGATCCTACGTGGATTGACAACAACAGTCACGTGCTAACTCGGCTTAACTAAGACCGCTTACCATACGCTCAACAGTTCCACACCCTCGATTCTATTCACGCTGTGATGCTTAGTAATTTCCAACGCCTCGGCTGTGGCGTGAATCTCAGTCCCCGTCTTAAAACTTCCACATTCTCCAGATCTATTCTATGTCCCGGGTCTAAGGCATGTGCCACCATCGCTGAGACTTTGACCAGTGTTTTGTATTCCTCTGCATTCCTCGGTGGTCTGTTAATCCTTCTTTTATGCTCACCAATTGTGGTGTGCAAATCCCTGGCAGTTTGTGCTATATAAACCTTAGTGCAATCGTTGCAGTTAATTTTATATACACAGTCCCTAGTCCTTTCAACCGGCAAGGCATCTTCCAACTGCACCAAAACCGAAGCATGACTACTCAGTCCGTTCCAACTATTTTTCCCCTGATGAAAATAGCTATTCACTTTTTGCATAATGGACCGACGAAACGATAAATAAAAATGAAAGTTTACTACGAACAATTTTTCTGACTGTTATTGGTGCCAAGTTCCCGGTCATGTTACTTTGCTTGAAGGAAAAACGACAAACATGAATTTATGTTGTAGACTTGACATAAAACTGAGCCGTTTCTTCGTACTGTGCAAAACATTAAAACTCTTAGGGTTTAGTTGGTGCGCACAACCAACAACAGTTGTTAGACTTCCCATCTAGTGATAATCTATAATCACCCTGACTTATTCTTTGCTCTTAACTACTAACCAATCATCAAAAATGAGGGTTACGATGTTCCTCACCATTTGATATGTTACACTAGGCTTCGAAGTAAATCGTGCCACAACATAAAGTCCAAACCCAGAAACTTCACACTGAGTATATTTCGTCAACATTGATTGACACGTCCAAATTCCCCCACATATGATGGAAAATTTCCCACAAATCTTTCGCTTTATAACCCACTTGGCAGTCTGATGTTTTCATTGTAGTCACCATTCAAATACAAACCAATACATAATCACGTGACGCTACAAATGTTAATCCGATGGCAGCTGACGTCCATTAGTGTCATTCGTACAGCTGGACGACATACTTTGATTGTTCGCTGGGAGCATTCAAAATCCAACCAACGCTGATAATTTGGAGCAGTTAAACATTCCGTTAAAAAAATCGGAATTTAAAAGAGTCGCGCAATCAGTTTCACTAAACATTTGTTTGTGGAAAAATCTGTCAGATAGATTTCGGCAGTGGACTGAGGTGAGTGGTATCAATCAGGTGATGCTTCCGGTGATGTCTAGGATTGGATATTGGGTATACCATTGACATCTTCAAGCGCAGTTCTACCATGTATCCCATTACTCCATTTTACGGTCTTTTTGGCAAACTGGAAACATATTCCCTACGCATTTGGCACGCAAAAGACGTTTGGCAGTCTGCTATAAAAAACCATAAACGTAAGGAATACATCCCCCTAGTCAGACACTGATAAACGAAAAAAAATATTTTCAGGAGGGACCTTGAATGCAACCTGATAAATATTATGACCTTTAAATTTGCTAAACGCTGTAAATTCTATGAAGAGAAAACAATTTGTCCCTCATCACCGCTTCATTGAGCTGCATGAGAGATATCGGGAAGGTTATGCCCACTTTTGGCGAGAAATTCAGTTCCAGTCAAAGGTGAACACTCAGTGTCTTTCCGTGAGGAATTCCTAGCTTTGTTAGCCTGTGTCTTCATGAATAACTGTTCTTCTGTGTCCACCTAACCTCAGCAGCATGAAGGGAAAACAAGCTGTTGTTGTTAGTTGTTCTACTGTTTCAAGGAGGAAAGCCATTTTCGCTGAGTGTTTATTAGCAAATGCCAACTAAACGGTTACGAACAATTGGACATGAATTAAACTCCTCATATGTGCCTTGTTTTCAAAAACTGACCATTCTCACGCGTCCACTTGAACTTTCGTGGATATTCATTCACAACCACACAGTCGTAAACGAACACTGCAAAGCGGTCTTACAACATCCGTACTTAACCCCACCTTCCATTGGATAAGAGGCGGAGTTAGGAGAAAACCACATACTACTCGTATGTCTCATCATTGGTACCCGCCGTTGCACTGGTATCGGGATATCAGCTTCAAATAACAGACCAATTCTCCATAACTATCGTAAATTGTACCGACAGTTCGCATGAACTTTTACGTGCCTGGCATTTCAAACTAGGCACTTAGTCTTTATTTCAATATTTCAAAACCTGCGCTAATTTCCTGCTCTGAAGATCTGAAAACCTCGTTTTATTCTGGATCTAGATTGATAAATTTAACGTCCTGATTGATTATCGGGTTTGCCTTGCAATAAATGATGGACACATTCGGATTTACCTGGTTGTGGTGCATAAGTTTTTGTGGAATTTATGGAGCTTATGGTGCTTACTTAAACGCATAGAAAATAAGCTTGAACCACTCTGCAGACGGCAGTCAAACAGGTACCTTGCTTAAGTCACAGAAATCGTTGATGGGAGTTGGACTTATCAGGTGACACTCAACAAGACCCTCATGATGCCTATCATAGGATTGTTGCAAGATGCCTGGAATGTAAAACTCACATTCTTCCGGGTAAACGTCTGCAAAAGCTAATGAGCTTTCCAGGGGTCTTGAAATAAAATTACAGAAATCTGAAGGAAGAACAAAGATGTCATTAAAATTGGGTGATGCTGTCTAAATTTTAAAAAGCTTGGTGTCTAAACATCTTATCTTAGGAAAGCCAGTTAATTTAATGTTACACCTTTGACGCCGAGCCAGGTACAATCTGTCTTGATAAGAAGTCCACTATTCCTAACAAAATCTGTTGTCATTCTGGTCAACGTTTGCCTCGTATTCTTTTCTTACTCATTTTTGTCCGCGGGCATAACTTTCAAAATAGTCACTCTGAATAGCCGATAAGTTGATTTGTTTATGGCAAAGTAGGAATAACACTTGAGGAGTAGTGATGCGTTCCTTTTCAAAAATTAACTGTAAAACGGGATGCTTGTATTCCGTTCTTATCCTGCTTGGACTATCCAAGATTCAGTAGGTACCTGCTGATAGACTTTTGCTACCGTATTTTCACTTACACGAGTTCCGAGCAAGCTGCGGGAATTCTGATTTTGACCTTCGCTAATAAAATATGGTGGGTATGCGATTGCACACCGACGCATGGGGACACAAAGCACGGAGCTTAGCTGCAAGAAAAATATTCCTAGAAATGCAGGACAGTATTTTTACTTCTTTTTGTTTACCAGCCCTCTGGTAAAAGAAGCATTCAAGGACACATTCTGGTCCTAATGAAGTCATTTCTTCTGGATCCTCCTATGGAAGTTCCGCCCTCTAGAACGTAAAAAAGAAATGAATCCCCGCCCTGTAAACGTACGAACAGAAGCACTGCAGTATAAATACGATTCGTACACGAAATTCACTTAATTATCAGAAGTCAACTCAAACTCGTTGATCTCATATTCGTACCACTGTGCTTTAAAGGACTTCATCTATCTCAGCATAGTTATTCCAGTGAGTCTACACCAAAGAGAAAGGCACTGGAATAGAGCTTCCCTATTAATGCTTGCCAATACCTGAAATTAAGCCCGTACATCTGAAGTACCACGTGAGCACATCAAAACTATCGCACTGACGCACGAGTTATTACGCCGTCTGAACAGGCGAACGTAATCAAATTCGAGTGCGAGTGACTAGCCCAACCGCCCAAGCGACAACTCATTAACCGTCTTGGGCATGTCGGTCGATTGTCGAGGCGGTCCCAAAATGCTCGCGTGTTGGTAGTATTTCTCCGAATATATTCTGTTGTAATAGTAATAGTGATAGTAATAGTAATAGTGAAAGCATGTCACCCAAAATTAATTAAAACGACCGAGGTTACTAATGTGAAATTTTCTCTGCCTGACCAGAAGGTACTGGAGTATCAGCACTGCATATTTTCATTTGCCACTGAACTTATCCAATTTTTTCGAGAAACGGGGACCGTCTTTCAGTTGACAGTATTCTTGTTTTCTCAACAATCTCTTATACACATGCTGTTGAAACCACATGCACTGCCTCTATACAGGTTACCTACTCGTGTGACTGAACGTTTGACAAAAAGTAGAACTTCAGCATACAAGAAAAGTTCTTCCCTGAATGGATGTCAAGAACAGGTGCTTTTTCGAATTACGGACTTTTATTTTGCACAGTCACGAGTTCAAACATCTCAACCAACCAGAAGTAAAACGGTGAAGTCCACTTTTGCAGCTTAACTTCCATAAAAATCAAGTTAACATCAAACCATATGGAACCGCATGCAGGACAGTGTATTTGGTCCACATCGCTAATCAACTACCACATGTTAGCAGCGGTGTGCAAACCTGTATTTGGTTGCAGAACGTCTCATGAGTTTTTCCACAAATGTGGAAGCAACTGCATAAGGCTTCCCCATTTCGACGTGGGCTGGCTTTTTTGTACCACCTAATCTTATTTATCATTTGATTCCATCCGGCATGATACTAAATAAGCGCATCAATCTGAACCAGTCAAGTGAGATCGTGCCGTTGTTCTATAATTATTTTGTTAGGATTGGAAGACTGGAAGAATCTAGGCCAAATTAAGGAAAATCAATAAAACAATGTGTTGGAACAGAATTACCCACTCACGTTTTCAGGCGCAGCAAACTGAGTAGAGCCAACTGAATGGAGAATCCAATGAAAAAATCTATAATGATCATTGCAAAATAAAACTATTTTCATTTTTGATGTTTTTACACTCAAGCTAGTAGTGATAGGAGCCACCAGCGGAAAATAAAAAAGGCTGAAATTGGAATGTTCAATCACTTTGGAGAATGCTTGCTGTTTAGGGAAGATTGCATGTGAGCTTTTGGCCACTACAGACGCCTCTATTTATACACAGAAGAATTGGTGGCATCGTGTTTGGAGCGCTCAAACAGAATGATCGCTCCATAAGGCGATGTTTCTAATATTAAAATAAAATGAGTCACTTGTAAGCAAAATATACAGTGGCCAAACAAGCAGTTTTGCCCACTGAAGGTTCTGGACCTCTTATAGGAGACAGTAAAATGTAAGATGACTGTGTGCGTACGACAATCAGTACATGGCGGTATTTCAGTGCATAGGTGTGATCGCGCGAGGCTTTTCCGATACGGAAAGCTCTTCGTTTTTAAACCGTACTCCGTATGTCTCAAAAATACCAATAATCGCCGAATGTTTTATACAGATGCCTGTGAGTTCCTGCATCTGGCTGTGGTATAATGTATATGGTGAGTTGCTGCAGGCCCTGATGCGCTCCCATCCTCTCAGTCCAAATATCGACGAGTAAATCTTGGTCGATATTTGTCCAAATTATTCGCCTTTATCCGAGGGACAGAGACTGCCCAAACCAACTGGCACCAGTCCCAATTTTCCAAAACCGTGCTCACTGTCAGTGTGACAACGACAGATGAATTAGCCTAATCCCAATGGTAACTAAACTCTTTGCGTCCTACGCTTACGTCTTACGAAGGCCCTAGAAGAGGAATCCGAGCAGGACGCCGGCCTGGAAGATGCTGCATGGGCCACATTTTCACAATTCGTGGAGTGCAATCACCTGCTTATAGGCACTCTAGGAACTTTGTTTTCCTTGGCTTCAGGAAAGCGTTCGGTTTTGTAAACTGGTAAGTTCTTTTCAGCATGTTTGCGCAATCAACCAACAAAACCAGCGTTTTGTATTTACATACTTATGGACGATTAAGATAGTATGGAGAACTCTCTGAAAGAGTTCCTACAAGCAGTGGTGTCCGACAAGGATGTCCATTTCAACCATTTTTCAAGTTTTCGTTACTGATGAGGTACCGAGGCAAACGGTGGAAGGTCTACAAAACCTGAGTCTTCAGATGTATGTGGGCAAGATACTTGTCCACACTGAATATGCAGAAGATACTGTTCCCATTTTCAAAGAAGTGCTGGAAACACAAGCGTTACTAGAACAGGTGAACAAAGTTATCCAGTCCTTTGTCATTTGCTTCGCGCCCAAAAAATGTTATGTCAAGTTGCAGGGTGTACAGTCTCCTAACATGCCTGTTAGAACCCGAGAAGTAAAATGGGGGGTTGTAGAAAACTCTACGAATCGTCGAGTTTGCAAAAGCTCTGCCAGTAGTATGACGTACATCGTAAACTGCAAACGCCGAAGACTAGAATCGCGCTTGCTAAGTTGCGCTACGCGTGGAGTCAAAAATACATCTTGCTAGGTCTCAACTGATGAATGTATTAGACTACAGTGCGGGTTGTATTGTACAACGGCCGTGGAACCTGATCAGTGTTTGAAGGAGAACGTGAGAAGTTTTCAATTCATTGACCACTGATTCCCCCTGCGGATACATATTGGAGTCGGTGGATTCGGATTAGTCGATCAGGGGACTGGTTGGGTGTAAAACAGACGGTACTTCAACCAAAGAATACATCCAGTGCCGTAAGCTAAGCTGACTGGCTCATGTTTTACGCATGCTGAGCTATCACTTGCCGAGAGAAACGCTGGAGGTGGACAGGATTCTACAAAGCAGAATAAAATGAAAAATTGTACAAAAATCTAGGGTGTCTTTGGGTTTGTTAGCCTTCTGGACCGTGGTTCTAGTGATCCTTCCAGTGCTAGGTTCGAGACATTGAACGTTGTGGCGACTAGCCGGTATCAATGGCATTTTAATGCTTCTAGGTTTGATCCAAACTGTCTCACGGCATGTCTGAGGTGTGGGCACAACGGGTTCTCGTGGAAAACTAGCCCTAGTTCCCCTTCTTCACCCATTCCTTCCTTCTTTTGATTAAAAAGCTTTATTGCAAAAAATTGACAGTTTTAAAGCAGTGAAGCGCAACTGTTTCCATCTAATGTTGTCAGTAATAGCAATGCTTATGACACAGTTATGCTTATATGTATTATTGTTCCCGTTCACAGTAATATTTTTCATTTTTCTTTGTGCTACCAATGTGACAGTGGCTACTGCTTATAAGGCATACGAGCAGTATATGGGTTTTAGTGGAACTGCTTTGCTGTGTTCGTTTACAATTCCTTAGTAGTAAATGAACATCTACAAAAATTTAAGAAGACGGGTGAGCATGTTTAGTGAGCAGTATAGGGTTTTAGTGGAACTGCTTTGCTGTGTTCGTTTACAATTCCTTAGTAGTAAATGAACATCTACAAAAATTTAAGAAGACGGGTGAGCATGTTTAGTTTTTAGAAAGAAGGTGAATATGATATGGATACCTGTTCAATAGTTTATGACCGTTTGCTTATAAATGACTTCGCGTCGAAGGGCTTCTCTCGTTACATTTAGTGCCGTGACCAGGATGCGGATGAAGATCCCGCGGCCACAACCTTTGAGAATGCGGATGTGCGGACCTCCTTGGAGGATTCCGAGAAGGTCACGGAGGTGTCTGGACTGGAGTCCGACGAGGGTAAATTGGTGGCACTGCAGACCCTTCTCAGAGGCCGGCGAAGGCGGCCCTAGATGTGGCCAGTAGTGGCCCTCAAAAGGTGGACTGGGTTACTGCGAAGGAAGCTCTTGCAGAGGAGTTTTAAAAGCCAGCTGACCGCCAGGTGACTATGTGTCGGTTCAAGACGGCCAGCATGGGACCTGGATGCGACCCGACGATGTTCTTTGTCAGCCTACAGCAGTCGCTGGATTGGGCTTTCCCGGGACTGGGCGGAGTGTCGGGCCAGGAGCTGCCGTCTGACCAGTTAGGTGGTGTGCAGCCTGCTCTTGGCGATCAATTGTGGTTGGCGAGAGCAACTGGCAGTTGAGTGTGGCAGAGTTCGTGCCTCTGGCACGGTAATTGGTCAAAGCGCCACTGGCCACATTGCAGTCGCAGAAGAAGAAGGATGACTCAGCAGTGGAGGGGCTGCAGAGCAAACACGACCATCTAGCCAAACAGCTTGTAGCCATCAAGACGGAATTATTCCAGGCACGCTCAAACGATCCGGTACTAAAAGTATGGCATGCCTGGCCATCAGAACAATCAATGTGGTCGTACCCGACTACATGTGAATAATAAAACTTTGAATCACACCTCCTTTTCTTGGTGGATTTCGACTAGTGCGATGACACAAGCTATCGCACAGTCCGATATTGAGATAGACGGGAAGAGAAAGCTGTGTCTGAATGATACAGAAGCAAGAGTGTCGCTGAGACGGAGAGCAAACGAAGCTGAACGCAAACATTGCGCGCTAGCCGTGAGAAAAGTGAGTGAATCCCGACTGAAGACTGACAGATTGTCAGTGCACTCATTGCATTCAATGCACCTAGACAACATGTCATTGCAGCAAGAGTTCCTGATCAATCGGGACATCGAGCAGATATCCTTGAGTGGAGATTTTCTCAAGAGAGCGAAATCCGTGGTTGACCTAAAGCGGGGAAAACTGTTGACAAATTATGGCCCGGTCAAGCTTGAAGGTTACCCAAGCACTACCGTGAACGAACCGCGTGTCCGAAAGCCTCCACCTTGTAACGTGCCGTCGGTACAGTTTGTGCTCGAGGAATAGTCTGAACTGTTCACAGGCGATGAAGATCCGTTTGGCTTTTACTGGTGGATTAAACACGATATTTCTCTCTTATTCGAATGCTTTCGACCTTACGGTTCCCGTCCGCAGCTGCGGTTCAAGAGATGTTGAAAATGGCATAATCGCGAAAGCCAGGAGTGCGTACAACTGCCCAGTTGTGCTTGTAATGAACGCGGCCGGGAAATATCGGTTTTGCGTAGATTTCAGGCATTTGAATGAACTGACCGGGTTTTAGCTGTCTCTTTGTGGAGTTTTCCGATTCCTCCCAGCGTTCCCGATGTTCCACGGTGTTTGACTTGCGTTTCGGATACTGCCAACTATCTTTCATGCGAAAGTGCCTGGAGAAGACGAAGTTCATGGCTTGGGACAGTCAATATTAATTGAAGCGGTTGCCGTTTGGTTTGTCGGGGCACCATTCATATTCCGGCGCTTCATGCTTCGTTTAACGAAGGGACTCCAGAATGTTGTCGTTTACGGAGATGATCTCGTTATGTATAGCGATTCGGAACCAGAGCACGCTTTCCCTTGAAGGCCGCATTGAGGCGTATCCGGGAGGCTGGTCTGCGGGAATACTGGCGAAATTTTGAGGAATCAGGTGGGACTGTCAGCGGTGTCCTCCACAACAGCTTATCCGGCTTTCCAATCGAAACATTTTCAATATTTTGCCTATTTAGCATGGTCTTCTCTGTGGTTGAGTAAATAATAGCAGTCGGTGCATCTTCAAAGGGCACATTCTGTGCGTCACCCGCGGTGAACACAGTTTGCTACTTATCGCGATATACGGGTAACTGATCTTCAAATACGTCCATCTGGTAACAAATCCATGGGAGTTGATTTGGTAAAGATCAATCGTGAAATCAACTGAAGACAATCTGTACATCATTTAGCAAATTCCGCTTTGCTTTTACGAAAAACACGGGTTCAGTATCCAAAAAGCGCAAAATAAAAAGGACTATGAAACAAATCATCTGTTTAGTTTTCCCTTGGTGCGAAAGTGACTATAAGTTTAGTAGAATCTCCCGCCTTCTTGAGGCTAGCCAGATGATAGTGGTTCCGATTTTCAAACTGAACAGTAGACTTTAGGCAATTATTTATGCGCTTAATTGCAAGGCAACCCGGCGTTAACCAAAGTTCACTTAATATGAGCTAAACTCGTTGTTATCTGTTAGTCAGGAGGCTTGTCTAGGACCGCTCATCCGAGCAAATCTCCGATGAATGAGAGTCAAGTGCATGGTTCCGGTTTAGGCAATTGCCGAAGCCACCCTCTGACGCCACCTGAGAATCGTCAGGCAAATAAATTACAATGTTTAATCACAAAATCGTTTCCAGCCTAGCTATTGACTGATCGTTGTAAGCGCCTGCAGAATTTGTCGAATTTCCGGCCCCATGACCGTCGATTGAACAGTCCTCTTTCCGTTCTGGAGCAGTCATTATTTTAAGTGTACAGTTAAGAACGGAAACGCCGGAGTCAAAGTATCCTTGTATAAGAACCCGTCAGCAGTGCTTATCCCTGGTCCTGAATTCTGAACGACGTGCAGCTTTTCGAACAAAAGTAGCCTGGACGTTTGTGAATTGTCACATCTAACTGAAGAATAGACTGCTGACCCACAGTAACTTCTACGTGGACTAATTAACTTCCCACTACGTAGATCGAAAGAATGCCATTATGCATGGACCACCATCCAAACTCTCTCTCTCTCTCGCTGTGATGAACAAATGTCGACAAATGTTCCAGTACGTTTGGAGATCGTCACTGTTATTTTCCTGTCGACATCTGAGTGAGACAACTGATCAAAGGCACACAATCTGCAAACACTTAAGGCCACACCAATTATTAGCAGGCTTTAAATTTGATCGTTTTGTACAAAACCAGCGGGCCAACTGCTTAAAAAATTATTTTGGCAAATTTATTTACTTTTTAAGATTTGAAATAATGTTGCCTAATTGCTTCAGAGTACTCTGAACTATAACTGTCCGTATCCGTGCCTCATCTATCTTGATAACATCAGGGATATAACTAATTCTCATGGAGAAAATCCGAAGTTACGTCGTAAGTCTAACAGCTGTTCTTGATACAAATCTCGCTGGAAAAACACTCGCTTATTCAACATACTGAGAAAAGTGAAGCTTCTCATGGAGTGTGGCACCATTACGGATACACGGATCTCACCTGCTGTCAGGTACTTGTTTCACATTAAATGTGCTGTTTTGTGGTAAGCTCGATTGCTTGCTGAAGGTGAGAAATTAAAAAGAACTTGATATTCCATCGCCGTCAGATGTCTTTACATCGACGAGAAATAAACAACATAAGTCCTATCTGATATGTTTGTAATAAATTGTATCCCTTCGCAATTTCATTTTTATAGCTCTTGTTTGGATTGCTTGAAGGTGTAGTCCGAGTACACATTTTCACGTGAGCTTTTACATCCCGAATGGTTAATGTGGTATGTTTTTTAAGTTGGCACTTTAGCAATGTATAATTATAGCTTTTGTGTGCAGAACCTTCGAATACGTCCGAAGAACGTTTTTGAAAGAAGGCGTATTTATGCGCTCTAGATAAAATCTGTCGTCTGACATCTCGTAGTCATTTTACACCATGATAAAAAACGCCTCCGGTTACGAATAAAAGTATCAGACAAAATAAATGGATTTTGTATTGGAAATATGACTTGCGGAATAGGATACCACTTAAGTAAACCATAAAATAGATACATAACTCATTCGGCAGCACGGGGCAGCCACACCCAATGAAAACATTCCGTGCACAACTCGTGATCATTGTGGAGTGCACTGCTTTTCAGAAAGCGTTTTGTTCCGGTTACCTTTCGTTAATGTGTCCACGGATAAATCTTTTATCTAAAAAACAGAACGTTTGGTCATATGGCCAGTTATATTTGTACCTAAAGTTTGTTGCAAACACTCTAGAAATCTCACCAAGTGTTTCTTGCCAAAAATTTGGTTTTTCCACAGGTTAAATGGCCATACACTCGGACAAATTTTATTTCTCATCTCATCAGGTTGCAGAGTGCCCATCACAGTTCCTCAGCCCATAATTATGCCCAAGTTTGTAGTGATTTATCGTTGCATGAAAATGCTTGTGTGGACGAAGGTAGACGCAACACGCTAACTTTTATCAGGATGAATTGGTCCAGCATTTTGGACATATGCGTCAACCGGATGTCCACTATATCTTAATTTGGCGAAAAACCTACATTATCTGATTTTTTGCTCACATAAGTTGTTACTCCTAGTGAGAATTCGGTCACGCTTTCAAAAGTCTGAATTACGGAAAAACCCGATTATGGAGCTGATGGACACAACGGATCTTCATAGTTGGTGTGTGGCCATTCTTGGTTGTTCCTCCTACTTATTTATGTATGTAAAGCTGTTCACCCGTACCTTACATAATCTGTGCAAATCTAGTCTATTCTTAGTCACGTCTGCACCTATTCACACCAAAATCTACGTCTGTCTAAATTTCAGGCTTCGGGGGGAGGTGTTGTTGCGGTACCATGCGGTACTATAATTAGGTGTCCTGTAACAAACTCAAAACTTGCCGGCTAATCAAAACGATTTAGGGATCCACTTCATATGATTGTCGGCTACAATGAGTGGAACTACGCGTGTGTAAATAATATCACTGGAAACTGAATAAAGGAATATCCTAGCCAACAAAAATTTTTAAGTCATTTTTTTACCCAAAATACTTCCCAGGTACTTGTTACAAGAATGAAGGCTGACAACTTTTATGAAAAACCCTTCGTGTGAATTGAGCGTGAACTGTCCACAATGCAATGTCACGGTTGTTAACTCGACAGCTCCATTTTTTGTTGAGTGAGTAGTTTTCATGAAGGCCCCATCAAATTCGGTGAACCAAGATTACTTGAATAGGGAGGATTTCCATCCCAATAGTGTGTTGTGTAAATCAACACTTTCAGTTGTAAGTCCCCTACCACTTTAAACTATTACTCATTTTTAAAACAAACATTAACATTTGAAATGCATGCTTGATTATTCGTGTTGATTGACGACCAAAATCGCAGAGTATAAGATAAAATTAACATTTTTGCAGAAGAATAAAACTTATCCATTGCCGGGGGAAAAATCATTTTATACCATGTGCGCCAAGGTCGAACTATTGCATCTGAACTTTTGATACTCCGAGGTGGTGATTTCCATTCGGAGGAACTGCACACAGAATACCGAAAAACCGCAAGTATTGGTTGGCTGATCAACTAAGTGAAGTAGAATTTAGTGGTGTATTGAGGAAAGCTGCAAGGTTAGTTGACCGGTTGATTTTACGGAATAAAATAGCCTATCTAGGGCATGGAAGAAATGCTCAATAGGTGTACATAACATCTAAGGTGTTTCCAGGGTTTTGTAACC